TTCGTTTAAGGTGATAAAGGACTGGTAGAAGAATTTTCCCACAATGATATGTGTAGAGCTGACGTTTCCAGTCAATTTCACAAAGCCTGGCTTTCGCAAAAGTTGTTCTCATCCAGGCTGAGGTGGACTGCAGTTTCGACCTCGCATCGGTCTTATCAACACCACCAGCGGGAGTCGAACTGTGACAGTTTAGAATGTGAGCTTGACACGCTGACCACTCAGCAACATTGACACGAGTGCCCCTGGGTCACAGGGCAGATGTGAATTTCAAGGAAGGCCAGGCTTTATCCCATATCACCTTATTTGGTGGGATTGTCGATAAGGCAAACGTATTGTTTTTACATATTTTTCGTATATAAGCAGAGTTTCTAGACTAACAGTAAATCGGTTTTATGAGATATATTCACCCTATCTCGTTTAAGGACGCCAGCTCTACTTGTATAATTGTGGGAAATTTCTACTTCCAGTCCTTCATCTCCCTAAACGAAATAGAGTGAATATATATCATATAAGTGATTTACTGGCAGTCTCGAAACTCTGCTTATATACGAAAAATATTTAGTGTTGGTTTGACTTCGTTTTCGCAACTTGATTGCAGCGACAGGGAGACTGTGTGGAAGCCCTGCGAGCGGCATCTGAAACCGGTTAGTGAAGTTGATTATGTATAACTAAATCCATTTAAAGCGACAGACTCTTAGGCGAGAAAACAGAATAGTGTGAATAGATAAATAAACCATATAAAGTGAGGCTGAGAGAAAGAGATGCAACACCTGAAGGTAGGGCACAAGATGGGCATGACGAGTAATGTCACGATAGTTAAGCAGAAAAATGATTAAGAGGATTGCCTTCACTTGTCACTTTTTTAAGTTGTAAGTCTGTGCTAGCGATGGCATCTCTCACTGACGATGCCAACTACGATGCCAGCGAAACGTCTAGGAGTGTACCAAGTCAACGGTTCAATGCTGGAATCAGAAAGAATATTCAAGGGCAGATGATGCAGGACTAGGTACGTTCCACAATTTCTCCCTGTAAATCCGACCAAGTTGGGAAAGCCAGGTCCAAACAGCATCATAAAGCTAAAGGAGACTGCGAAAAACAAAATGCCACACTATCTTGGTTTTCGTATCTACGATTTAAAATATTTAGCTTATACAAGTCTTCTTCTTGGCAATATTGTAGGATAAATGACATATTCGTAATTTTCAAGTAAAAAACTGACTCATATATGCGCTGTTTCTCTGCTTGCTAAGATGGTTAAGGGCGTACCTTACAGTAGGAATGAACTATACTACACTTCTGGTTTCCAGCCCGGATTGTCGACCTCACCGTTCAAATATGCATATTTTAATGGGTCAAATACTCCGATTTGGCTTTTCCTTACCCATATTCTTTCATAAATTTTGTAAAGTGAGATAAATTTGATATACTTGTAATGTTTTCACAGTCTAAGAATACCGACTTCTCCATAATGGTAAACTTTTGTGACAAATACTTATAAAAACACGTCTTTAGTCAACAATGCATAGGGGCTATTGCGAGGGCGGTGAGATAATCGCTGAAAAAGATAGGAATACTTGAAATGATTCATAATAGTAGAATTATTCGGCCATATGGGATCCTATACCTTCAAGTGGGCATGAAATGCCAAAAGTGCTGGAGGCTTCCTCCTTCACGATATATCTTGTCTATGCCTAACTCCCTCTAACACAGACCAGGAAGATAAAAGATAGAATTCCAGAAGTGTAAAAAAAAAATTTTTGTGAAAAAATTCGAAAGGCCAAGAGTGAAGGGCATAATGGGAGACTTTACATAGGAGCACATTATTTACGTATGTGTCACCAAGGGAAACTGAATAATATAGCAAATATCAAATAAATGCCATTTTAAAGTACTACTAGGTAGGGCGGTAAAGTGGTTGTCAGTGTGTGCCCAAAGAATTTTCCGTTACCTTTAACAACAAAGAGATGATGCAGACTCCATACTTACGGACCTTCTCACGCCCGCCACAGAAGCAGAAATTGACCAGCTGACAAATGATAAAGAAAGGAGGATTCTATTGTCGCCACCCGTAATATCGCAAGGCGGAACAAAATGCTCATCCTCTGACTTTTATGGATGTCCTGCAAACGTTTTGTTGCAACTATTCGGCAAGGAATCCGATGAAGGGAGACTCAATGTTACATTCTTATGTGGTCGGCAGAAAAAAACCAAGCTAATTCAAAGTATGATCTCAAAGCATAAGACAAGGCTTTTAGTTTATTAGTACCTTTCGAGACTTATCTAAAGCAGAAATTGCCGACTAGAATTAGAACAAACATGTTATCGGAGCAATTAGCAAGTCTGGACACGCAATACTTGCTTTCCTAATGGAGGCGAGAGTAATCAAGCTACATAAGACCAAAGTGCGGTACCATAAAACGGATAATATGAGACCATGTCGACTATGCCTGTTCTGGCAACGACACAGTATGACTCATTTGCTTTGCCCTAATGCAACTCTTTCCATTTCTCTGGAATTCTAATTCTGTCCTTTTTGTGTGCATAGTTGAACTCATATTGCTAGTTTACTGGATGAAAATGGGGTACTAAGCAGATGAAAAGTACCGAAGTGCGTCATAAACCCATATAGCTTGCTATTTTGCTGTTTAAAAAGGCTAAGTGCCATGATTATTTGACCCGGATGGCGATGACCCGGACGTGGGCTAATTGAAAGAAGACGTAAATAAATCAAATAAATGTCGAAGTTTACAGTACAAGTGGATATCAATAAAGGGCTAAGTAATACTTTTTGAGGTCTAAATGCCAAATGATGCCTTAAAAGAGAGGGAAAAATATGCGCAGGTAAAGGGTGAGAAAGAAGATGGAGGCCATAGTTAAGTGGAAACACAAGTTGGCGCTAGAATGTTTGGAAAACCCAGAAATTGGAATGGCAGACAAGATGAACATACTTGCCACAAGACCGATAATAGCCCAATAGAGAGTCAGGAAAAATTATCATTAAGTCCCCTAAAGACATGCTGATTGACTAATTACGGCTTAGGAGTTGAATAATTCAACAAAATTAAGGTAAATTCATTTGTAAACCGGAAGGGATGAATGAAAGCAGAATAAACAATGAAACACTTCTTTTATTTTAGGCTACATTAGTAGCATTACCAGTGGTGCCATTATACTCAGACCTATTTTTCAGGGCTTAAATTATGGCACTAATATTTAAGTTACAGCAAACTTTCTGGTCACTGATACTTTATATGGCAAAGATTCCTAAATTGTTGAGCTTACTTCCATTTCGAGTGAAAGTGTTGGCTAAAGATATTCGAAGGTCGCTTCCACCAGAAGACGACGGCGGATTCCCCTTGACCAGCTGTCGATTGACTTTACTGGAAGATTCATGCTGACGCTGTTTCCGAGGCAATCTCATTCGATTCCAGTGAAAAGGTGCTAAGCTTTCGTCCGACATATGACGAGCATCATCAGAGCAAGGTATCATCGTCACAACAAAATGCAAGCTAACAAGTCGCAAAGATGTCTAAAGTCGTTAAAACACCACTTCTCAAAGCATAAAAATGAAACCATTATTCAAATGGTCTTTGTTCCTACCTGGCAATGTGATCAACTGGGCTGAGAAACGCCGCGTCCACATCTCCTCATACCCCAGTGGAATCTGTCCAGAGGCCTGATGTCCTTCGGGGTCGAGTCGACAGGCGGATACAGCTTCGTCGCTCGTTGATAGGTGGTTGGCATTTGAGACCTGCGCTTGGTCCCAAGTCAACTGGATACTTGGCTCAGACTGATTTCGACCGGTAGTCACAGTTTGTGCCGTCTTCATTCTTGCCTCAGTCGGCTGATTTGGCGATTTTTGGTTGGGTAGGCGAGAGGCAGTGGTCCAGGCAAGTTGCTTTGGCCTACTTACAGGCGAAAGCAAATAATTATGGCCGCGGGGCGTGGCGGCCGAACTGATTAGAGGCCAGTGCACTGTACCCGATGGGTCAGCAACAGACGGTGAGAGATGATCATTCCCTTCAACAATCTGTCTCCCCTCTGTCTCCTTCATCACTTTAAAGACCTCAAGATCTTCTGGCGTCGAGAGGAGCCCATCTCCTCTAATATTGGTCAGAGACTCCCCGGACTGACCAAATGTATTAACATCACTGGCTATGGTTTCACGGACTCGGAAAGAGGGCGAAAGATGAGAGCGACGGTGACAGAGAGGTCGAAGGTTGGACAAATCAGGAGAAGAGGCGGCTGCCCGAAGAAGGGTAGGAGAACTGGCCTCCGCCAACAAGGCGTCTGTTTCGGGGATGTAATAAGATAAGAAAGAAAATAGCGTACACGGAAGATACAGCAGAATCCACTTAATGCAAAAGTAAGATTGATGAGATGTCGAGCTAAAGAGAGCCAAGATAGAGGGCTTGAGAGAAAGAATGGTAGCCAAATAATGCTTAATCGGAGCTGATCCTTTCAGTGTAGCATCTGGAGCTGACCCTACAAAACCAGATAATAATAATTGTAGTGCAGCTTTGAACATACACAAGGTGTTGGAAATCGAGCTGTGAAAAAAGTGTGATGACCTAAACATATTGGTGATAAAGCTCTATGGGGAAATTAAAGGCTGAAAGGAGCAGAGCACGAACATCCTCCAATGGGCGTAAAGAGCCTCAATTCCTTTTCTAAATCAGCATCCACGATCAACTCTAGTCGAGGCCGCAGTAGCTTGAAGAACTCAAATATGTATAGAATATAAACCACTATAGGATGCGAAATATATGAGCAATCTCTATGTAACCGGAAAAAGCTGGGACAATTTTGAAGACGCTAACAGAGAAATGCTTTGATAAGGAAGACTAAAGATATGTAGATAACTTTTTCATTATTCCGTAAGTTGGTATGGTCCGCTCAATATCAAATGTATAAAGGCCATTTTGCAAGTATTGGTATTAAACAGCTTGCTTTGTTCGAGTAATCCTTCAAGAGGCGGCACTTGTGTAGAGGGAAATAAATCAATCTTGTATTTTCAAGCTTGGGTGAAAACTCAA